TACTGGTACACAAACCTAGAGTGCCCTCTAGTGGCTGTTGACGTGAAAATAAGAAACATGTGAAATGATATACTTTAATATATAAGTCGCACCTGAGTATAAGTCACAAACCCAGCCAAAGGATGGAAAAAATGATGCGACTTACAGGAGTAGCAGATACTGGTACACAAACCTAGAGTGCCCTCTAGTGGCTGTCAACGTGAAAATAAGAAACAAAAAATGTGAAATGATATAATTTAATATATAAGTCGCACCTGAGTATAAGACACAAACCCAGCCAAAGGATGAAAAAATGATGCGACTTATAGTCCAGAAAATCCAGTAGTTGAGTCCTGTGATTATTACTGCACTATGCGTATGTGGTGTAAGGGCTGCACAGCATCGGATGTGTTTGTTGTTCGTACTACTGCTGAAATACTGTTGGTTGTCAATGTTAATTGACTGATTGCGCATCACTTTTTCACACTTCACAGAGCGAAAAATTGCTTAGGTGACAAAGATGTAACGTTTTCACACTTACATAGTATAGAGTTTATCACGCCTACTTACACATCTGCCATACATACCACATACTTGGCGCCTCCGAGGGGCAGCCTGTTGCAGCAGCATTTCCCTAGTGTGAGAAAATGGGGGTAAAAGTAGAGCTCAATATACCAAGTCATCGAGGTCATACTACGATGTAGAAGATATTGGTGTCATGGAAAGTATGGCTCGCGAGCCAGATGTCGCTCTTTTGATGAGTTTTAGTGGAAAAATCACACTGCCCAAAATGATTTCTCTCCTCTCTCTTCTTCTCACCCAGGCAAGCCAGTTGGGTGTTTACAAAGCCTTCGTGGACAACTACAAGGTAGCACTGGAGACGGCGGAGAAATGCAGTCAAGCCAGCAGCCAGTTTCAGGAGATTTCAGAGGTAAATTTCCTATCATTTGAAAAACCCATCAGTGAATCTCTTAAAACTGACAAACTGACATTTCGGTTCAGGGGGCCACATACAGTTTGAATAGATGTCAGGTAAGGCAGACCAGTACAATTATGACATAATTACCTGTTAATAACAGTAAGTCCATGTTTTTTTCCCCATTTGTGATAACAATAAGTCCATGTTTTTTTCCCCATTTGTTTCATGCAAAGAAGTACAAGTAAATAATAAGAAAATATTCATTTTTTTAAACTCATGAACATAAAGTGTTTTTCTTTTACATTTAAAATTCATCAAGCAGGCTGGTTTTGGTCCACGAACCCTATGTTTGACACCACTGCACTGAGATAATGGAGTTATAACATCCTCTTTTGAACAGAAAGTTTAAGGGAAACATAATATTCTTTTAGAATAGAATAGTCTTTGTTGTCATTATGTTTGGTTAGAACGTAACGAAATAGGGGAAGGCTTTAAAACCATATACAGTTTAAATTCAAATTACATAACAAATTTTGTAAAAAAAAATTGAAGTTGCACTTCTAGCCACCGCATGGGTCAGTGCTGTTTTTTTCACGTCTATCTAAGAAAATGAATAAATGTCAACGCTGTGCCGCAGAGTTATCGAACATTCGCCTGATGTGTAAAAAAAAAGGGACTAACTGATTAAAATGAATTGATCAAAAAAAAATTATTTTTTTTCGCCCTTTCATTACTAATAAGCTTCTTCAAAGAAGACGTTTACATTAGGCACAGGAGCATCACTGTTCTACTCATTTTCCACACTGATTTCGCTCTCTCTTTTTTTTTAGAACCTGAAGGTAAAAGGTCCTAAAGACTCCAAAGATTGTACCACAATTGTCAAAATGGAAGGTGAGTTTTTGTGTTGGTGTGTGTCTAGGTATATGTGTGTGTGTGTGTGTAGTCCTGCCCCTTCTGATTGTGTATGCAGTGGCAGGTTTTCAGCAGGCAGGGCAGTGCATGACAGTGCACACTTTCTCTCGTTCGTCGTCGTGTCTGCCAGAAGGCAGTTAGCAGGACAGGGAGAGAGAGGAGAGAAGCGGTACAGAGATATGGAGGTGCTGCTGGTGCTGAGACTGTGTTGTAACTGCACATACGGTAATGACTGCTCGATGTCTGAGTCAAGCGCGGTTATGATGTGTTCGCCGGTAGGTTGTCATGCCGGTGCTCCATTAAGGCTGTTGTGGATTAGCTGTTACGTAGACATGAACTATTCTCGTTGGTTATTTCTCAGGTCTGCGCTAAATTTGTGTTGTGCCGGCATTGGCTGATGGAATTTTGCGCTAAATTTGTGTTGTGCCGGCATTCATTGAGTTAGTTATTTAATGAGTTACAGTTGTAACTGAAAACACTGGCTGATGGAATTCGCCGCTCATCTTGGCCGATTGAGTCCATCCATCCATCCATCTATCTATCTTTACTAACTTGTTTTTTTTTGTTTTTAAAGGGATACGTCAGTCACTATGTGTCTTTGTATCGTGTCCGTGATCCTCACCTGTCACCAGAATGTTAGATGAAGTCTGATTTCTGGATGTTTAAAGAATGCGTGAAGGAGCCTTAGTGAACTTTAGTTTCTTCGCAGAGCAAGTGGTACGCTTTTCCTACCAAACGGAAATCTGTCTGAAAAATGGAAATGAAATGAAAGAGGATTTAAAAAAAAAAGAGGATAGTGAAGCTTTGCGAGATTGACAGTATGTGTGAATGCACTGTGCATTGCAAGGCTGAGGTTTCAGCAGCATGTACCTGTGAAATGTCTCGAACAGTAAAGGTTGAAAACTAGGGATGTCCGATTAAAATCGTCCCACCGATATTAGCATAATTATGTTATATCTGTAAGAATCATTATCGTTTTTTTTTCTTCTGATCTCTGGGTTTTGTGAAATCATGTGTGCTCTAAAAATAGTTTTTTTTAATGCACCAGCGACAGACAAGTCAGATGCCTCAGTGCTCTGAAGAACGTTTATTGAAACACAATTCCAGTAATTCGTTCGAAACTTTTTTTTATTGCTCTCAGTACAGCTTCTCCAAAAACTCACTCTCGCGCACTCTCTCTTCCTCATACGCGCACGTCTTTTACCACGACTCCTCACGCCCACTCACATACCCGTAAATGTTAACTCGGTAGTTCTTAACCTGGGTTAACCCTAGGGGTCATAATTTGTTTTTTGATGACAACCCCCCCCCCACCTCTGCACAGCATACACTGTAATTTAACCCTTTCATGCATAAGCCTCTACAGTGGACGCCTGAGAATCTGTAGAGGCTTATATGCAACACTGCCATCAAAACCTGTTCTTATCATAGAAAATGACATTTCAATAGCTGTCCACTGTAGTGACCGTCATGCATGAAAGGGTTAAAAAACAAGGCTGCTAACGTTAATAGAAATGTGTCAGAATTCTAGACAGTGATGATTGCAACAATTTGATTGGGACAAAGGTATGTTTACCACTCCTATCCCCTTACCAGAGCTAGCGTGCAATTTTTTTAGCAGCTTTTACAGTATGAATTCTCATGCCCCCGCTTAGCCATCACAGGTTCGGTGAATGCGGATATGAAACTGAGAACCACTGTGTTATGTATTTCAGTAATGTGCGGTAAAAACATTTTAAAACACTCTTTGTTAAAGATTTATACACCCTGCCAGGAGGTAAATCCGGGTGAACACTGAAGATTTTCATTCGACCTAAAGTCACCCAACCACTACGTGAAGTAAATAACAAAACTTACATACCCGCTCGCATAATGAGACGGCATTCACTCCCTCTGCAGTCTGTGCAGGATCTGCTGCAGATCCTCCAGGAGGCAGGGGTATCAGTTTAGTGAGGATGACATTAATCTTGTCAGGAGGGTGGAGAAACTTCAAAGAGCATTAGTAATGTCCTCCAAAAAGATTGTCTTTGCTCCCATAGTCCTTCAATGTTTCCGTACAGGAGAGCGAGCGTCTAAAGGTGAACCTGTCGGTTCATCCGAACGTGGTGTATTGTTTTGTCAAGAAAAATAAAATAAGTAAAAAAAAAAGAAACATGCATATGTGAGTTTACGAACTTAAACCTGTTTAAGAAACATCTTTGTCAAACCTGTGTGTGTTAACCAGACTAACTTCTACTCTTGTCATCCCTGCCTGCAGCTCTTTTGTACAAACCGATCGATCGTGTCACCAGAAGCACGCTGGTCCTTCATGTAAGTGCGCAACCTTTACACAACCTCATAAACCTCACCGGTACCTCGTAGCTCGTGAATTCCCTTTGCAGCGTTCGTACCGCATTGGTGCTAGGTTCTTGCACAGCATACACTGTAATTTAACCCTTTCATGCATAAGCCTCTACAGTGGACGCCTGAGAATCTGTAGAGGCTTATATGCAACACTGCCATCAAAACCTATTCTTATCATAGAAAATGACATTTTAATAGCTGTCCACTGTAGTGACCGTCATGCATGAAAGGGTTAAAAAGCAAGGCTGCTCACTTTAATAGAAATACGTAAGACTTCTAGACAGTGATGAATGCAACAATTTGATTGGGACAAAGGCATGTTTACCACTCCTATCCCCTTACCAGAGCTAGCGTGCAATTTTTTTAGCAGCTTTTACAGTATGAATTCTCATTGCCCTCTGTGTTTCAGGACCTGCTAAAACACACTCCCAAGGACCACCCAGACTTCCCCCTCCTGCAGGACGCTCTCAGGATATCTCAGAACTTTCTGTCCTCCATCAACGAGGAGATTGACCCTCGGAGAACCGCCGTCACCACACCCAAAGGAGAGGTTGGTGTAATTCATCTATGTCAGCGGTGTCAAACTCATTTTGGAACTACTTTATAACCTATTAATAAATATTTCTGCAATTGACTATTGTTTATTTCAAGTTACTAATGTAGTTCAATGCCGTGAAATAAAAGAAAAACTTTTAATTTATTAGGTTAAGAAACTCCCAACTTTCAAGGTTTTTAAACTCCTACAGGCCGTGCAAAATGAATTGGTGGGCCACATCTTGCCCCCCCCCGGGCCTTGAGTTTGACACGTGATCTATATACATGATCTATTCGTTGCTATTTCTTAACTTACAGATGTGCAACTAACAGCAGCTTTGTTGCTGGTTTGACTTTATTTCATATAAAAACCCTGCATCAAGGTAAATCAAGGTTTGACAATTTGCTAACTTTTAGGGTTCATTTTCTATCTATTAGATAAATATTAGAATCCAGGTTTCATAAGAGTCATGATTTCAAACTCTTTTTTCATGCTGTAGCCGGTAGTGAGTCAGTTTTTGTGTTGGTGGCGCATCGAGAACATCAAGAACTCAAATGCCAACGGGTGTGTTTTCTCAGACTCGTCAGCTGGTGAAGGACGGTTTCCTGGTGGAGGTGTCGGAAAGCTCTAGGAAACTACGTCACGTCTTCCTCTTCACAGACCTTGCTCTGTGCGAAGATGAAGAAGACATCGGCGGGGTCAGTCCATCAGATTGTTTTTTTTTTTACCTCTGTGCTGAAAGTTCCGACAGAAAACGAGAGATGTTTAGTAAAAAAAAAAAAAAAAAAAAGAGAGAGAGACGTTGGTGTTCGTCGTGTATTTGTCTGATGAGCAGCTACACAAATAATCCCATTTTAGTCGTGAAAAGAATATCCCACACTTGCTGTTGCGTTGAAGTTACCAGAAAGCCAAAACAAAGCCATACTTATTGTGTAATTACTTACAGATTTTGGGAATAAATCATATGTTATATTTTTTCCATCCTCCCTCCCTGCAGTCGTCACCAGCAGTACGAGTGTAAGTGGTACCTCCCTCTGGCTGACTTGACGTTCCAGACCCTGGACGAATCAGACTCTTGCCCCAGCATCCAGGTCCTGCCTGAGCATGAGCTGGAAGAGATGAAGGTCAAAATCTCAGCCTTAAAGAACGAGATACACAAAGAGAAGGTAATCCTTTTTAAGCTTCACTCTCATTTGGCGTTTAGGGTAATACCTGACATTATCTTTGGGATTTGAACAGCTTTAGAGAGACAGCGTCATTATAACGGACAAAAGAAATGAAGAGGATCACTTTATTTCCTGTCATTTTATACTTGCTTCAAGGTTACCATAATAAAACCTTATGAAATGGAAATGAGAAAAAATATATAATATAATATTATTATATTATATTATATTATATTACTCGGGTGCGACTTATACGGTATATTGAAATATATTTCACATTATTGTCACACTGACAGCCGCTAGAGGGCACTCTAGGCTTGTGTACCAGTATCTGCACCACTGAAAATATACATATTCATTATTTTCACACCGACAGCCGTTAGAGGGCACTCTTGCTGGCTGATGTGACTTATATATATGTTTTCTTCTTCATTATGCATTTTCTGTTATTTTTAACCCTGTGCTGAAGATTTCTGTATGTCTATCGGGGCAAAAAAAAAAGAGAGAACACTACGTCAATCGTGTGTGGGGACTCACAATCTTTAAAAAGGTTGTTCTCTACATGAGTCACGTTAACAGCAAGCTAACGTGACGTTTGTTATCGTGAGAGATTTAGCTGATAGTGTCGAGACTCTGACTCATTACTTCCTTCTGGGGTTTGGAGGATGTCTGAGTTTTTTAAAAAAAAAAAAAAAAAAAACTAAAAAAGGCACAGCCCACATTTTATCTCTTCCTTTTCCTGATACATGGGAAGGACCTGACAACCTGATTTCATGCTGATATGATAGAAACATTTTTTTTTTTTTTTGTATGTTGTTGTAACATTATAGACGATACATAGGAATGGATAAAAAAAAAAACAACCCAGTTTATATATGTAAAAATTTTCACAATAGATTTTTCAATGTCTATTCTTTCCATTGTGTTCCATATTATAAAGTATTTGATGTCATTTAAATACAATAGTTTTAATGTCTGTAAAAACCAAAGGGATATTTTAGGGATAATTAATATACTAAATATCTTTTGAGTCACTGTTTAATTTTTTTTACCGAGTTTTATTTGTCGCATTTAAAGGTCATTCCGTGTCACTGTTTTGTCTGTCTGTGGTTCAGAAAGCACCGAAGGGCCAGAGTCGTGTGGAGCGTTTGCGGAAAAAGATGAACGAGCAGGAGTCCTGGCTCCTGACCTACTCGCCCACCATTCCGTTCCGTATACACAACAAACATGGAAAGGTAACGGTCTGACCACAAGAGGGCGACATTCACTGTAATATGTTACAGGTGTCGAAGGTTAGATGTGATTTGTTGAAAAGTGTGGTAATTCTGCCTCACAGTATTGTAATTTAGTTTGTATTTGTATTTAGTTTAAAACAAGAAGGAATCGCGGTTACAAATGGAACCAGCGTTAACTATTACTTAACTCCCTCTTTGTTTATCCAGAGCCACCTGTTCCTCCTATCCTCAGACTACGAGAGATCAGAGTGGAGGGAAAGCATCCAGAAACTACAAAAAAAAGGTAAGATTGGCCTCAAAAACAAACAAAAGAAAAATCTATTCAAAAGACGTCACGACAGAAATGGATTATGTTGGTTGTTTTTTTTTTTTTGTGGTTTCCAGATCTTCAAGCCTGTGTATTAAGTTCAGTTGAGCTTCAGGTCCTGACCAGTTCCTGTTTCAAACTCCGGACGGTCCACAACATTCCTGTCACAAGTAACAAAGATGGTAGGAAACACTCAAACCGAACATCTTTCTTTCCTCACCCCACTCTGTCAATTCTCTGTGTTTGATTTTCTTTTTCTTTTTCTTTTTTTTTAAAAACCCCAAACAAACAGGTCAGTCCCTCCTCTCATCCCTGCTTTGAGTTTAAAATCACACAAAGACGGGTTTTTTTTTTTTTTTTTTTTTTTAACAAAACCCACATAATGGGAAGGAGCTGGAGGAGATGGATCTGGATTTCAATGTGTTTTTCATCTAGTTTGTAGCAGTCAGCGCCACGCAGTGTGTTGACTCTGGCCTGAACAAACTGTTGGTTTGTCTTTAAAGGCCTATAGTGGTGACGGTAAAGTCGTCTGTCTGAGTTATAGTTTCCTCGAACAGCAAAGCAGTCTTCAATCGATCAAACTGTCCTCGCAATTTACAATAAGGAAGACTGAATTTTTTTAACCCTTTTTTTTTTACATTTTTCTTTCACTCGATATGTATGCAATGAATAGTTGTCTCTGCAGGGACCAAAAACCTGCCAAGGTCAGCTTTACCCGTCGTTTTGCCGAAGGGTCAATTTTGCCTCCAAAACCTAGTATTACGAAAATATGCATAATCAGGTTGATTGAAGTGCAAGTGTATCGTAATTTCTGGACTATAAGTTGCACTTTTTTTTTTTAATCATTTGGCTGGTTTTGGAACTCATACTCGGGTGTGACTTATTTATTATAAAATATATTTTACATGTTGGTTATTTTCACACTGATAGCTGCTAGAGGGCACTGGTGCGACTTATACTCCGGAGTGACCTTCTTCTTCTCCTCCTTCTCCTCCTTCTTCTTCTTCTCCTTCTTTTTCTCCTCCTTCTCCTCCTTCTTCTTCTTCTCCTTCTTCTCCTCCTTCTCCTTCTTCTTCTTCTTCTTCTCCTTCTTCTCCTCCTTCTCCTCCTTCT